CCTATGGATATTAAAAATGTATGCAGTTTGTCGCCATTGCACGGGACATGTGCAGTTTTAAAGCATGTCATGTTCGGTATCTATTTACTCAGCATACCATTATCTTTTATACTCTACCAAATTATTCACTAGGGTGCCTGCTTTAAAAAAATATATAATGTTTGGGGGTTTAAATTAATTTCCTAGCAAAAAATACTGAGTGTTTTCATGTGAACAAAAAGTGTCAGAAAAGGCTTCAGGTGGCTAGAAGAGTGAATGATGTGAGGCATAAACACAAAGTTGTCATTTCAATTATTTATTTCCTGCACAAGCCATGGGTATATGTGGAATTACACCCCAAAATACATTCTGCTACTTCTACCGAGTATGGGGATACCACATGTGTGAGACAATGTAAACAATGTAAACAACTGTGTAAAAAAAAAAAAAAGAAAAAAAAAGTTTTTGTAATTTTCCAGAAACTTGTGGGAAAAAAATAAATCTTCCATGGACTCAATATGCCTGTCAGCAGATAGCTTAGGGTGTCTACTTTCCGAAAAGGGGTCAGTTGAGGGTGTTTGTACTATCCTGGTATTTTAGCACCTCAAGAAATGTGATGCGCAGTCAGAAAGTAAAAGCTGTGTAAATTCCATTATCTATACCATAGTTTGTAGACGCTATAACTTTCACGCAAAGCAATAAATATATACTTACTGGGATTTTTCTAACCAAAAACATGTAGCAGAATAAATATTGGCCTAAATTTATGATGAAATTTTAGTTTTTTTGGATATTTTGTTATAACCGAAATGAGAAAATGTTTTTTTTTCAAAAATTGTTTTTTCTTCAAAATGTTTTCTGTTTATAGCGCCAAAAATAAAAAGTGCACAGGTGATCAGATATCACCAAAAGAAAGCTCTATTTGTGTGAAAAAAAGACAAATTTCATTTATGTACCGTATTGCATGACAGCGCAATTGTCCGTTAACTAGCGCAGCGCTGTATAGCAAAAAAAATGGCGTAAATTGCAGTATCTATACCATAGTTTGTAGATGCTATAATAACATTCACACAAAGCAATCAATATACACTTATTGGGATTTTTTTTTTACCAAATACATGTAGCAGAATGCATTTTGGCCTAAATTTATAACTAACTTTGAGTTTACTATATATTTTTTATAGCTGAAAGTAAAAAATATAATTTTTCTTCAAAATTTTTGGTCTTTTTTTTGTTTATAGCATGAAAAATAAAAAGCGCACAGGTGATCAAATACCACTGAAAGAAAGCTCTATTTATGTGAAAAAAAGGACGTAAATTTTGTTTGGGTGCAGCATTGCATGACCGCACAATTATCAGTTGAATTAGTGCAGCGCCGAGGAGCAAAAAGAGGCCTGGTAAGGAACGGGGGTAAATTCTCAGGAAGGCTAGTGGTTAAAGAGACACTAAGCCTGCCAATGCTGCCCTGACCCACTTATACTGACTTTGCTAAGCAGTCCCTCGATGCTCTGATCTTCATAGGAACCATAAATACCAGCTGATTTCAGGTTACCTATTCCCTCATGACAGCGCTCTTTTGTAGCAGCCAATCGCTAAACCCAGGGACTGTCGTGACCAAGACAGCGATGTCATTGCTCCCTATACTTGCTAAAATCAGTGATTTTAGTTCCAGTTGCAAAGTGGAATGAATGGCAAGAGGATACTGGCAAGGTGAGTAGAAGAGTTGGGATGGGGGCCCTTTGCTGCAACTCTGTCATGCCCTGCATAGTCAAAATAACAGTGTCTCTTTAAAAAGTTTTTAATAAATCCGTCCGGGGGGGGGGGGGTTGGAGGGTATCAATACTATCAGTCATGTCTCTAACAGGCATAGTAGGCCTTACTGTTCTCAATAATTGGACTTGTCACACTCAATATTTAAGAATATTTAAAGAGCCCTAAAAGTTGCAGATGTGTGAAAGGCCTAATACACATACAATCTATATGGCTGTAATCCCAAGACTGAGACAGATAAACTCGACATGTTCCACACGTGCTCAAAAGTAGGTGATGTATCCGACTTAAAGTGCACCCATCATAAAAAAAAATAAGTAGGCTGGCTCTGGTCAAACTACTGAAGTTAAAGCGATTCTAAAGGTTAATTTCTTTTTAAATATCAAACATGTTATACTTAACTGCTGTGTGCAGTGGTTTTGCACAGAGCAGCCTGGATTCTCCTCTTCTCGGGTCCCCCGCAGGCTCCCCTGGCTCCTCCTGTCTGTTGGGTTTTCCTCACAGCAAGCAGCTTGCTATGGGGTCACCCGCTGCTCTGTGTGTCCATTCACACAGGGAGCCGTGGCTTGGCCCCACCCCCTCTCTCTCCTCATTGGCTCACTGGCTGCGATTGACCTCAGCAGGAGCCAATGACTCCCGCTTGCTGTCTCAGCCAATGAGGAGGCAGAGACCTGGGACAGCCGAGGCTGTCATTCACATCGCTGCTTTGCGATGAGGCTCAGGTAAGTATTGAGGGGGCTGGGAACACTGCTGCACACAGAATGCATGAAGGTAAAAAACCTTCAGCCTTTACAACCACTTTAAAGCTCTATTCATGATTTCCAGACAATTAGCATTTTCATAAGGAGTTTAGAAATGGCAGCCTGGTATTTTTCTTACCATATATATTCTTTCCGAATCATTTTACTTCTTTGCAGCTTGTTAACAGCCCATTAAAAATGAATGTTATGCCGATGCACCCTAATGTGTTTAGGAAGGAACATTACTTTATTTTTCTAAAGCAATGCACCATGAATGACCCCACAATGCATGCTACGTTACGCATGTGGTAACACAGCACAGAAGTGTAATTAGGCCCTTCATTTCAAAGTATAATGCTAATCTCATTGTGGTTGTTGTTGCCATTATGCCAAGTTGTGGTAAGAGTTCTCAGATTTTAAGTCGCTTGAATGTTCTACTAAAATCTGTTGAGATCAATAACAGAATAACTGTGCCTGCCCATTAAATAATGAAACAACCTATTCTCTATGATGTAAATTACAAAATAGCACATAGAAATTATTAATCCCTTATCTGTGGAACACTGCACATTCCTACATAGCTAATCTGATGGTGTAATTACACTATAGGATGCCCAAAGCTCCATCACTTTTGCAGCTGACTGCCTAGGACCTCTTGTGATTCACCACAAGAGATTTCAGAACAGGAATGTATTTAATCACCGAGACCTGTAAGCACACACCATGTAAGTGACACCTCTCTGCTGGGGTCATTTTTTTTTTGGTTTGATTTTTGTTTTGTTTTTCTTTTACACAAAACCTTTTCCCCGTTCTCCTGGTCCTAACTTAGCTTAGAATATTGTGATAATGTGTAAATATACCTTCTTTATGAGATTGCTACTCCTACAGGTAATGGAAAAAAATGTGTGCCTAATTATACAGGGAAAAGCCTTGGTGGAGAAAAATAGATAATTTATAGCACCTTTATAGAAGGCTGCCAGCATACAAACATGGTATCCAAAACAAGCCAGCAATAGCATCTCCTATATTTCTACTTTAACAGCTTTGTTTAAAATTAGTGTAGTGGGTGCAGCAGTGACAGGAATGGGATCTGGGATCGCGCTCTACCACCATTCCTCACAATCTGGATTCTCAGAGTGTGACAGGAGCGGAGGGTGACAGGAACTGAGTGTGACAGAACTGTGTCAAGGAAATTCCACCTAGAGAGAAAGAGCCTGGTCAGTGAAGCCCACAGCATTGTGAGGGACAGCTACAGGGTTCCAGAGTACTAAGGGATGAAGCTACCAACAAGAGTTGTCACGAGCAATCCGGAGAAAGCAGATAGCCAACTGAAGTGACCACTGCTGCTGTGTCACTGGGTCCGGCGAGAGGGCCTTTTAGCTGTTACTTGTTACCACTGTTGGAAAATGAGCCAATAGAAATTACTGGGCTACTTTTAACCATCGCTAGAGACTGAGCCATTAGGAACTACCTACCAGCAACCCCACAGCCCTAATACTGCCTGCAGGCCATATTTATGACTGTAACCTGTGCCAACAAGCCCCAACATCTAGGCAGCTGAAGAGTTAGGACTAAAGACTGTCCCTAACAGTTGATGCCCTGAGGCCTTTTTTTTTTTTCCTTAAAGAGGTACCTCTTATGAGACACTGCATTCCAGCTAATCCCTTAGAGTGCACTCTAACCTATTGTGGTTTATCATAATTTATACTGCATTTAACTTTTACAAATATTTTTTATTGTTGAATTACTAATTCACCATTCTGATTCTAGTTAGAGGTATCAAATCCTATTTTCTTCCAATTTGAACATAAATCAGCACACTGCTAACTATGTTAATTTGCCATTTATTCTAACCCACCTCAATAGATTAAAAGCATTTACCACTAAATGGGTGTGTATCTATTTACTGGTAGTAACCCACAGCCAGGTTAAAAGTATTTTTGTGTATTTATTCATGCTTGCAGTGATTTTTAGTGAACCAGGTGTGTCAGAGGGACCGAAACACAGAGAGAGCCCATTCTTACAAAGCAGCTCCTCTGGGGGTGGAGCTACAGTAGAAATACCAAACCCCATCATTTTTCACTGCTGTGTACTCTGAAACTGCAGCATGTATTTAAAGGTCCATGCATACCTATGTATTGTTCTTACAAGCGGTAAACATGCGTTAATGCAATACAAGTACTGCATTGCATTACGGTGACAGTCCTTTTAAATACTGCCCCAGCGCACTACTCAGCAGCGACCACATATAAACACACAGCAGCACATCACAAAATACATGCTGAGCACTGATGTGTGCTGGGTTCCCAAAAAAGGACCATGTTTGGTTGTTGTAGCGCATGGGCAGGCCATTCATAATAAATAGATTATATTAACATGAAGGATGTTAACATAACACAATAAACCACATTTGAGAGAAAGGGGGTCTGAAAATGAAATTGATTTTTTTTTCTTTTTCAGTTTGTGTTACAAAACTTAAATTGTCCCTAGGGGTAAGCCATTTTTTAATATCTTTGGTTAACCACCTCCCTTCCGGCCTTTGTATATAAACGGCCAGACGGTGGCAGTGCAGGGGCGGGGTGGCCGTTTATAAACGGCCTCCCTGCCCCCTCCTTGTGCGCGCTACCTGGGAGTGGTTTTGCACAGAGCAGCCTGGATTCTCCTCTTCCCGGACACAGTGGAACACAGATCGTCGTACGGGACCTCTGTGCGAGGTCCCGATCATGTGATCACTGATTGGCCAATCACTTTTGACATCATTACTTGCTACTTGTGGAATTTGTGAATGATCACAGAGGTCACATGGAACAAGGCTATTCACAACAGCCTTGTACCATGTGACAAGCTGTGACCAATCACAGCTCACACAGTAGTTCTCAATGGCTGCAAGAATGCACCCAGAGAGAAGGAGAAATGATTGCTTTTACAGCCTTTATGGGTGTAAAAGCAATCAGTGTAAAAAAACAAAAAACAAATCTTCATCACCCCCTACAAGTAGTACAGCGTCACCATGGTGGACACTGTACTGCTAGGCTGACAGTATATTAAAAAAAAAAAAAAAAAAAAAAAAAAAGTTTAAAAATTATAATATTTGATTAAACTAATTTGGGGTTTTTTTTTTTACTAAAAAGATAATGGAATAAATTTTGGCCAAGATTTATGATGAAATATTATTTATTTGCAAAAATTTTATAAGAAAAACACTTTTTTTCAAAATTTTTTTGGACTTTTTCATTTACATAGCAAAAATAAAAATCCCAGTGGTGAATAAATACCACCAAAATAAAGCTTTATCTGTCTCAAAAAAATTCTAAAATTGATAGCACTGAAAGCTGAAAATTGGTCTGGACAGGAAGGGGGTAAAAGTGTTTAGACTTGAAGTGGTTAAAGAAAAAATTATTTATGCAAGTTGCTCATTATGACGTTCCTGACAGTGATAAACAACAGATTTACTGTTAGAAAACACATGTAAATTATTTTTTTTATAATCTATGCTACTCTCTTGTATATTTCTTACCACCATAAGAATGTACAGACTTTTACAACATAAAAGATTTTCCAGCTTAACCAAATATTATGTATTCTATTTTATTTAAACATATCTCTGTTTTATTGTTGCTTGTATTATATTTTGTATTTTTTTATAATTTACCACCATAAAAATGTAAATAAACCATAACACAAAGACATTTTACACTCAGAACAATGAATATGTATTATATTTTATTGTAAATATATGTATCTCTAGTTTATTTTTATTCATGCAACATCAGCTTTTATTTTTTTTCTATTTTGCCACCACAGAAATGTTAATTGACCTTTAGAATGAAGAAACACTTTTTTCCAATCTCAGTAATGAGTATGTATTTAGAATAGCATATCTCATTCAATGCTATATACCGCTGTGCCTCAATGGTATATCTCAGTATTACACAGCCTGCGTACATCTATACTCTAATACAGTGCTTCTTAAACTGTGAGGTGGACTGTACCTGCTATCCACACTAGTGAGCCATGAGAATTGTTTTTCCTCTAAATTAATCTTTGGTTGTTTATCCTAACAATAAAAGATAAAATGTGCTTTGGAGAGAACTTACACAATGAATTAACTGCTTAGTATCATTAGATGATCTATTTGCTACCAATAACCTCATTTGTAACATGCAGATATTTGTGTCCTGTACAAAGAAAAAAAAACTGGGTTGATATGCTACTAGATATGCAATTCACCATCTGTTAGCAATCTTATGTTCTTGCACTTCTATTTCTTACCTATGTGTAATGTAGGAAAGATATTCTCAAATACACCCACTTCAGCTCCCCATCAACCTTATGTCTCAAAATGGTTGCTTCATCTTGACTTTGGCGACACACCGTGCTGAGAGAGCGGGAATTGCACATCATAGATTCAGACACTGGCACACCTACCCCATAGGGAAGGAGCTCTTTGGCATATGACTGCAGATTTGATAAAACAAAACCTGTCCTGAGACAGCTATGGCTGTCCTCCTAAAAAAAAAAAAAGCTAGTTGCCTGGCTATCATGGTGGCTTTCTGACATTATTAACCTTAGTCACTGATCTAGAGCAAGCTAATCACAGCTAGGTCAGAATTTCCAATTTGGAAAAGTCATTGACTCAGTAGGGTCAACACTAGTGCCAGAAAAGTTTTATTATTCTACAGGATTTATATAGCTCCAACAATTTGCTCAGCGCTTTACAATATATAAAGGGAGACAATACAGCAAAAATACAGTTCAATACAAGAGGGATAGGAGGGCCTTGCTCCTGGGAGCTTACAATCTAATAGAGAGGGGTTGGTGGAACAAAAGATAATAAACCAACTAGCACTTGCAGAAGTAACAATCAGCAATGAAAGCCCCCCTTTTCCCTCAATACAGGTTTCTGTTAGAGCAAATTCAAACTCACTTTGAACATCAACCCCAGGAACATGCACAATGCACACAGAGGCACAGTGTGCATTGCAATATGGTAAAAAAAAGAAAGAAAAGAAAACAGAAGTGATTTCTCCTGCATTGGGGCTCATTCGAAATGAATGGGCTGTGGTAACACAGTGCATCACAATGCATGATAAAGCATATTTCGGCACATGGCCATTTTACAGGACCTGTGCATAAACAATGGTGTAGGCTCTCTGATACATTTTTTTTATGTATCATCTCTCCACCAATCCCTAGATAGCAGCTGTGACAACTCATCCCTTTCATTCATTGATCCTTTCCTATTGGAAAAAAATACATAATTTAAATATATAATTCAAAACAAATCTATAAAGGAGGGTCAATGTATCTAGAAAGTCTGAGCACAGTTGAATGTTAAAATGTAATATTTACAGAGGGGTTTCAAACTGCTAACTAGGGATTGCTAGAGAGTTGTGACATTTAAGCTGTGGATCACATAAAGGTAAACCAATTGGAATTTACGGTTTTACAACAGCTTTAATGTTTCTGGGTTAGCATTAGCTGTTCACAAATCTGTTTCACATTCTGATTTGTAACTGCTCTAAAATGGCATCTCTCACATTGGAATTACTTTATGTTAACTATGAATAGAACTGGAGAGGCCCAGGTGAGCATCCTAGCTGTAAGAGGATACAACCTATATTGCAAGGACTTAACATTTGATAAAATGTAAAGACAACGTGTACCTTTTTAGACATTATGCTAAATGGGAATGGTAATGAGATAATGTGTTACACAGTGACCTTCAACCATATCCTAGTTTATAACATTAAATGAGCGTCTTAACAGAAATTAGCACATTCCTGAGAAATATGGAACTTGATGAATAGTTCATGAAAATGTATACATGGAGAATGAAAATGTGAACCACAAGTAGATAACTACTCCTCTGAGCAAGATGGGCACTTTCACCATTTCAAGGCCATGTTCTGCCATGCTGCATCCCACTGAAAGTCCTCAGATGCTCTGCATGCATGAAGAGTGCAGCCATTTAATACACTGGCACATTAAAGTATTCATGACGGGGCTACAAAAGAAATGCAAGTTGAAACATAAGCCCCTGTCTGATTGTTACACTGGGGGAGATTTATTAAGAGTTGTATGCAGTATGTTCGTGAAATGTATGCACTCTTCTATTCATTTTTTCCAAAACTCAAGCAGTTTTTGTTTTAAAGCAAGGGGAGGGGGGGGTTATATAATATACATCACAGGTTTTACACACAATAGGAATACATTTTTTACTTAGTGTGCCTGGGAAATCATTAAAAAAAACTATTTAGTTGCCATGGCAAGTATCGCAAACAAAATACAAACCAAAGCATTAAAAACTGTAAAAACAAATGGAACTTGCAGGATAAAAGAAGCCTGTAAATGGCTTATAATTGCTATAAAAATACACTGCCAGGGAAAACTTCATTGAATCCATGTCATACAACTCTTTGTGATTCTCCCCCACTGTCATAGACTGTACACAGAGAAATCACTGAGATAACAGGAATCATTAGCGGCTGCTGGACATGCCAACCGCCCACTGTAATTCAGAGATGGAGGGTTAATTTAATTTCATTGATTGAAAGTTAAAAGGGTTGGTTAACAATGTTATTATGATTTCATAACACTCTTTTTCATAGAGGTGATATACATGAACATAATTCTCTTTATACACTTTGACTGTTCTTTTCAAATTGGACTATTAGCTCCGAAAAATAAAATGACAAAGACTAAGAAAAAAGAGAACCAGCAAAAATGGACAACTACGTTTATGACACAAGGCCTGATGTATGAAGAACTGTTGTGTTTATAGCAACTGTCTGCTTCTTTTAACCTGTATTAAAGGAAGCTTTTAGCAAGATAACTATAGAGGCTGCCAATGCTGATCTGTCTTGAAAATGCTGGTTGCTTGGCTATCATGCAGATCCAGTGGCTTCATAAACTTAAGCTTGCATATAAGACTCCTGACTTTTCTGAAAAGGCTAGCAATGACAGCCCCGTATTTCTTTCCAGGTTTACAAAACAAGGACAGTTGGAATCTGGATTATCTGGATGGAAAACATAGCTCTTGAGCATGAATTCCTATATGAGGCCCACCCATAGAAGATTATATTTAAGTTATCAAATATTTTTGAAAAGGTAACCCATCCAAGCCAGATTTCTCCATTTTAAGTTGAGTAAAGCAGCATGTGATATCTTCCTAGGTCTACATTGTTGTCCAGGGCTTGAGTATGAGAACGTCCTCCACCCCACCAGTGACAGGCCAAGTCTGGCTTTTCAGTCAAGCCAAGGTTGACACCAGTCTTGGTGAGCTCTTTACATGTTCTAATTGGGAATCCACTAAGGGGCGAGTGACCCAGCAGTTTTGAGTCATAAGCCCTATAGTGGATCATTCATAGAAAAATGAGGAGAAATTAGGGAAACCCTGTCTCACTCTACTCATAACCAAACATAGGTTCTGCGCAGACATTCTATTTAATATGTTTTGCTTGAGCCACAAGTTTATTAAATATGTGTAAAAATAATTTCTGCATTCACTTTAATCTGGCATTCACAAATTATAATATAACACACAATATATTATGTCTATCTATATCCAAATTTTTGCATCAAATCGGTGTGAAATAACACTATTAAACAGTTTTATGGGTGGGATACAGTATCACAATAATTATGTTTAGATGTTCTGAATTTTGCTCATGCGATCTTGCTGTAGTCAATCCCCCAATTCTATTATAATGGAGCCCAAAGATCATGATTACATCTGAATGTACATGCTATAATACCAGCTTTCCTGCACAGACAGGCTACAACTGCAAATACAAGGGTGTTTTTCCCTAACCAGTATCTGGGTCTAAAATGATCACCACAAATCCACACATTTCTTTTATATTATTGGCAGATAACCCATTTATGCCATTCCCTTTAAATCTGTAGCATTTAATTCTAAACTGTACATTCTACCTTAGTGAGATATGATGAAACACTTATTAAGATAAAGCGAAAAGTGGTCAGCTACATTTCATTACATTGGCCACATGTTTAACAAAAGGCACCAAAATTCTGTTTTCTACTCTGTTTTTTCTTTTCCCAGAATCAAGTCTTGAAAGACAGCGCCATAAAACCCCAGAATTCCATTATCATAATAATAAGAGATCTTCCAAGGCTGCAGCTTCTGGAAAATGATCTGCGTTTGAGATAATAGCCAGTTTACACCCTGCATAATGCATTAGAAGAGGCATCATTAATTTAATGAGAAAGGAGTAAGTTTAGACAATACTCAGACTATGCAGACAGCTGAGGAGCTCTGACAATACATCTTCAGCTAAATCCTCATCTCACCAAGGTTACCTTGTACTGTACCAGCTTCGTGTCATGCAATCCTCACCTTAATTCAGGCAGATACTTACCTTTCTTAAATGCACAGATAGGATTCTTTCAAAACATTTAGAACTATAGCTATATATCCAGAGACACAGGATTATATTCATGCAGCATTATCGAGCGATAACCAGTAGCAGCTGTTACTCTGAATTATAAAACATTTCTGTAAAGGGCGTCACTCATAAAGCAAAGCTTTAGCTGAAACATGTACAGGCCGTGTGCTGTGATGTGCTGTGAACTCTCTTTCTATTCAATAAGCCAATAAATTAGGTTACCACTGTGAAAAAAAAACTATATCAAATGTAAATATCAATGTAAGCGTCCTTATAACTGCTCAAAGTTAGACATATTGGACTTTGCATTTACATTTCTTAGAAAAATAACTAGCTATATTCCTTCTCTTTTAAAAGGAAGCCTGTCAACAACAGGAATACAAAGCTGCTATGAAAGACTTCCTTTTGAAAAATCTGGCTGCCTGTGGCTTCAATACTTTGAATCCATGAGTCAGTAAACAATGAAAGCAAAAAATTAGCAAGATAGGCAACTTGCATATCAGGAGAGATCACCAATGGGGGCCTTTAAACTGACCAGTCTACAGTCTCTTATTCATGTGCTGCTACTCTGCTAAGCTTGCTGAGAACCACACTGCGTGAGCTGATGACATACAGGTTGTATGTTCGCAAATCATGCTCAAAATGTAAGGATGGAGTAAAAATTACTACTAGCAGCTGAGGAATCGACACAAGGGACACATCCTACTGAATGTACGATATGTCCCCTTGTGCTGATTTTTCTATTCTTGGTTACACTAAGCTTTAAAACTGTGACCAGTCTTTGTTTTTAACACAGGACTGTAAACCAACCATGTTATTTTAGGCTGAACTTTCCTGACCCTACCCCCTTGATATGGCAATATGAACCCCTTGCCTACAGGGCAAATCAGTCTGTATATGCAGTAAAGAATGCTTGTTATACTCACTGTTTAACCCCTAGCCTACAGGGCACTTATACCCCCTTCCTGCCCAGGCCAATTTCCAGCTTTCAGAGCTGTCACACTTTGAATGAAAATTGCGCGGTCATGCAACACTGTACCCAAATGAAATTTGTATCATTTTTTTGTGACAGAGCTTTATTTTGGTGGTATTTAATCACCTCTGGGTTTTTTATTTTTTCTTAAACAAACCAAAAACCACTGAAAATTTTGAAAAAAAAAAATCGTTTTTTCTTAGTTTTTGTTATAAAATTTTGAAAATAAGTGATTTTTCTCCTTCACTGATGTGCGCTAATGAGGCTGCACTGATGGGCACTGATAGGCTGCACTGATGGGCACTGATAGGGGGCACTGATGAGGAGGCACTGGTAGGTGGCACTGATGAGCATTGACAGGCATCACTGATGGGCACTGAAAGGCAGCACTGATACATGGCACTGTTAGGTGGCACTGACTGGCACTGTTAGGCGGCACTGACTGGGACTGATTGGCGGCACTGATTGGCAGCACTGATAAGTGGCACTGATTGGCAGCACTGATAGGTGAAACTGACTGGCACTGATGGGTGACACTGAAAGGCAGCTCACATGGGCATTGATATGTGGAATTGATGTGCACTGGAAGGCACCGATATGTGGCATTGATGTGGCACTGATACAATGCACTGATGGACACTGACAGGTGGCACTGCTGGGGCTACACTGATCATCAGGGCACACTGATCATCAGTGCTCTGATGATCAGTGTACATGTCCCTTCCGCGGAAAGCCGATTACCGTCAGCATGACAGCTCATGGGGAGAGAAATGCCGATAACCGGCATTTCCCTGTTTACATGTGATTAGCTGTGATTGGACACAGCTGATTACATGACCGAGCCGACATCTTCGGCTCTTTCCGTGATCAGTGATCCGCTGTGTTCGAGGGACACAGCGCACCGCCGATCGCTCCCTGAGCTGCGCATGCGCGGTGAGAATGGGAGGACGTCATATGACATCCTCGCAGCACGAGAGAACCACCTTGCGCCCGTCATATTACTATATGGCGGGCAGGAGGTGGTTAAAGGCTGAATCAGTCATATCCTGATAGTTTTAGGGTTATGGTGACCAAGAATGCCATACTTTGACATCTTCTGTGGCAACATATAGAATCCATCTCAGGCTTGCAGTGTGAAAGAATGAAGCCTGGCCAGAGCCCATTATTTTATTTGCAACCATTTTAAGTTCAGGCAGAGGGTTTAACAAATGGAAAAAAAATAATATATTTTTATCTGTAAACCTATTTAGCATTTTATGCGCCAATTAATAGTGTCACACAAAACAGGCCATTAATTTGTTTCATGACAGAAAAACTGTACGTCCATACACCCCCATCTCTACTCCCCCCTCTAGCAGTTCTGCTCCTTTCTGCCGTGGACTGGTGGATATTTTAGAAGAACTTTTAACTGAGAACACTGCTTGATAGCGTATGCTATCTGACAATAAAAGAAACTGAAGCATATCACTTTTAAAGTTATTTGGCATAGATGGTGGGAGCAGCACAGAGAACTTGTATAATGGCAATGTTGAAAATGCACCAATATTTACACTAAAGTTTTATGTACTGCCCTTTGTTACTGCCCCCCGTGTCTATTATTCTTTGTATACATTCAACTTAAACTAAGAAATGTTTAAAACATAGCCTAAAAGGGTATCATAAGTGCAGCTGGTGTGTGTACCTTCAACCTATGTGGAGCAGAAAGAGTAACCAAGCCTCTTCCCTAATCAAATCTCCACTGATGAAGTTATTGTGGCATGCAGGCTTTAAAGTCTATTTAAACTTCCCTGCAAGTACTGCTTTACTCCAGGGCATGCTGTCAGCTGCACAGTGCATGATCAAAAGTAACAGGTGTCAGGTCAGTGTTATATCCAGCCATATAAAGAGATGGGGTGGGGGGGCTTGGGGAGCACAAGAAACAGCAGATGCAGAACAAATACAAAAAAATATATGATGGAGAATATGGACTGATTACACTGTCCTTTAGGCTGCAGAGATCACAAACATTAGTTACCTGCAATGGTGTGTACTGTATATCCTGCAAGCTTCTGCTTCAGGTAAAAATCTTTCCATCATGCTGCCAGATATTGCCTGGAGCAGCAATCTTATGCTGCAGGGACTAACATCAGTGGCTGCGAGAGTGAAAGAACTGCACTGTTCATCCACCCCCTTCCTGCCATCAACATAAACTTGTTCTATTACTGTACCATGTTCTGTGAACAGGCAGGTGAGATCCTGTCATTCATCCATCCCTCCTCTATTCAAAAAACACAAGACATTGTGGGACAATAATAGTACAAGGTCTGTGACTGGTGGAGGGGGTAGAAATTCCTTCACATTCCAAGCGGCTGATACTAGTTCCTGCCGAACTGGAAGATTCCCACTCTAGACCGTATCTGGCAACAGGAAGGAAGGATTTTTTTTTTTTCACATGAAGCAGCATCCTGAAGGACATGGAATAATGAATGTGTTTGGTGCTGCATCCAAAAATAATAATAATGCATGGGGTACAGACTGGCTATTCCTTGTGCAAAGTGCCATTCCGGTGCGAAGTGCATGACACTTTAAACATGACGCTTCAACTAAGGCACTTCAATAAAGGCAGGTACAAACATTAGTGCTCCACTCCCAGTAGTCTGCAAGTGCCCTTTCCTCTCATTTCTATTTCCCTCAGCCTTCCTTTTTTTTTTTTTTTTCCCCTTTAAATTTTCTCCTAACCCTCCAACATACTCTTACTAACCTTCCTTTTTAGCTATAATGCCCTCTCACCTCAAACTCTCATTTCTTTACCCCTCCTCTCCACCTCACAACTTGTACATTTCACAATCACGTGTGCCCTCTCAATATTATTGCACTTCTCTCCTGCTCTGAGCCCACATAAATGTCACCACTCCCAAATAACTGCGGCATTTTCCCTCGTATAAATCCTGCTCTCACCTCCCTCACCCTCTTACTGCTACTAACTTCCAGAGATATCGCCCCAAACCCTAGCCCTCCACCATCAAACTCCCACCCGCAGAAGCAGCAGTCTCCCTTCTCTGGCAGCAGCTGTAACCCTCACTCTCTTATCTCAATTGCCCTGCTTCCAAGAGCCAGCCACCCCCCTCTTATGTGCCCTCTGGAATGCCTGCTCAGTCTCCAACAAACTTTCCTCTGTCAATGACCTCTTCCTTCCCCACTCCCTCAACCTACTTGCTATTACCAAAACCTGGCTCAAGAAAATGATTCACTCACCCAGACTCCCAAGTAATAAAAAAAACAAAAACAAAAAAACACCTCTCTAGCAATACACACCAAACTGAGCATGTGCAGTGTCTCCACACAATATGTTTTATCAGAAGATAAGAGGGGTGCACTGGAAGAAGGGGAGGATCAGAGAAGACAGCATCAAACAGCCTTTTTTTACACAATGCAGAAGATTAACCACCTCCCGCCCGCCATATAGTAATATGACGGGTGTAAGGTGGTTCTCTCATTCTAAAAAGGACGTCGTGTGACGTCCTCCCATTCTCACTGCGCATGCGTGGCTTAGGGAGCACGCAGCGCAGCGATTGGCGGTGCGCTGTGTCCCTCGGACACAGCAGATCACCGATCACGGAAACAGCCGAAGATGTCAGCTCGGTCATGTGATCAGCTGTGTCCAATCACAGCTGATCACATGTAAACAGGGAAATGCCGCTAATCGGCATTTTCTCTCCTCTCGAGCTGTCACGCTGACAGCTCAAGAGGAGAGGAGAGCCGGTAATCGGCTTTCCGCGGAGGGGACATCAGGGCAATGATGATTAGTGTGCCCTGATGATCAGTGTAGCCCCAGCAGTGCCACCTGTCAGTGTCCATCAGTGCCTTACGTCAGTGCTCATCGGTGCCTCGTGCCAGTGCCCATCAGTGCCGCATATCAGTGCCTACCAGTGCACATCAATGCCACATAGTGCCCATCTGAGCTGCCTTTCAATGTCACCCATCAGTGCTGCCAGTCAGTGTCGCCCATCAGTGCTGCGCGCCAGTGCGCGCCAGTGTCGCCCATCAGTGCTGCGCGCCAGTGCCGCCTAACAGTGCGCGTCAGTGCTAACAGTGCGCGTCCGCCTAACAGTGCGCGTCAGTGCTGCCTAACAGTGCTGCCTAACAGTGCGCGCCTGTCAGTGCCCATCAGTGATGCCGCCTGTCAGTGCCCATCAGTGATGCCTGCCAATGCCCATCAGTGCCACCTACCAGTGCCTCCTCATCAGTGCCTATCAGTGCCACCTATCAGTGTCCATCAGTGCAGCCTATCAGTGCCCATCAGTGCAGCCTCATTAGCGCACATCAGTGAAGGAGAAAAATCACTTATTTACAAACTTTTATAACAAAAACTAAGAAAAAAACATTTTTTTTCCAAACTTTTCAGTGGTTTGTTTAAGAAAAAATAAAAAACCCAGAGGTGATTAAATACCACCAAAATAAAGCTCTATCTGTCACAAAAAAAATGATACAAATTTCATATGGGTACAGTGTTGTTTGACCGCGGAATTGTCAAAGTGCGACAGCGCTGAAAGCTGGAAATTGGCCTGAGCAGGAAGGGGGTATAAGTGCCCTGTAGGCTAGGGGTTAAACAGGGAGTTTAACAAGCATGATAACAAGCATGCTTTACTGCATATACAGACTGATTTGACTGTTGTGGGTTTAGTAACACTTTAAAAAATCCTCACTGGACCCCACCTGTTTGAATAACTTAAGACTCATCTCCCTGCTCCCATTTGCCTCCAAGCTTCTTGAGCGCCTTCTCCACAACCATATGAGTTGCTATTCCACTAACAACCTTCTCAATCCCCTAGTTTGGTTTCTGCTCACAAAATTCCACTAAAACTGCCCTACTAAAACTCACTAACGACCTACTAATTGCTGAAACCAATGGCCATTACTCTATACTTATGCTCTTAGGCCTTTCCGCTGCCTTTGACACAGTCAACCACCCGCTCCTCCTCCGTAAACTCTACTCCCTTGGCCTCCATGACTTAGCTCTTTCCTGTTCTCCTCTCACCATTCTCAGCACACTTTCAGCATCACATACAACACCAACTCCTCCGTTCCTCTTCCTTTCCGTTGGGGTACCCCAAGGCTCTGTCCTTAGGTTGCTCCTTTTCTCTCTCAACACCTCCTCCCTGGGCCAATTGATAACCTCCCACGGCTTCCAATACCACCTCTACCCTGACGACAACCAGATCTCTCTACTCCCCAGCTCACCCCCTCAAGTATCACAAATCTACTGAGCGATATAGCAATATGGATGTCACACCGCTTCCTCCAACTCAATCTCTCTAAAAATGAGGTTGTAATATTTCCTCCTCTCTGATCCCCCTCAACATTACTTTACCATAAACAGCACAACTATTGGTCTCTCCCCACAAGCCAGGATGCTAGGTGTAATCCTAGACTCTGACCTCTCCTTCGGGCCCCACATCCAATCATTGGGTAAATCCTGCCACCTCAACCTCCACAACATTTCCAGAACTCGCTCTTTCCTGACTAACAACACAACAAAACAACCTATCCACGCCTTGGTTATATCCCTTGATTACTGCAACTCCCTCCTCACTGGCCTACCCTTACACAGGCTACCCCCCTTCAGTCCATTATGAATGCTGCTGCTAGACTTATACACCTTATTAACCGTT